GCGCCGGTCCCGCCCCGCCCCGCCCCCGTGACATCACCCGGCTCCTGTGCGGGCGGGATGAGCCCGTCTGCCCGCCGGCCCGCTCCTGCTTCTCCGACCCGCGAACAAGGGCTCGCTGGGGCTTTCTCCCTGCTCCTCTGGGCTGGGTCCTGCCGCGGGGCTCCAGCCCTCTGCTCCCCGGCAGTGGTGGCAGCCACCTCGTCGCGGGGCTGCTGTCTCACTGCTCACGAGTCTGGGGCAAGTGAATGGGCTGATGCGGCTGCAGCAGAGGAGCAGCCTGTCCTGGGCCCAGCGTCACTCGCGCTGGGTTAAGCCTGTGTGGGTTTGTCCCGGATCAGTGCCTTCCCCCCCCAGAAGCAGCGGGTCTAGCACGCGGGTGCATCAGTCGCAGCGCATGGAGTTGCAGGGCCGTGCCCTGGGATGCAGCGCCAGGGGCTTGTCCCAAGCACAGGGGCCAGAGCGAGTCCTGGGAAGGGTGGGCATGGCTCTGGCTCCGGCTCTGGCCTGGTGCAAAGCAGCCTGGCAATGCCCCGCAGGGGGGTGAGCAGCGCCCCGCGCCCACAGCCCCTGTCTGCTCTACTCCCCGAGCCACCCCGAGCAGCAGGTGGGGAAACGGGGATCTGTGCGTGGAAATAAGGTGATAGCTGTGGACAACTAGTGATCTAGTGACATTGTATGGGAATCTGTGTGGAAATATGGTGACTCCATGTGTGGGAAATTGTGGGGTGCTTTGTCAAGTATGGCTCTTGTTAAACACCATTGATTGTATGTGTGGGGCCCTCAACAGCTCCCCACGACCGGGGAAGTGGCCCCTCCAGCCCACGGACTCGGCAGCCCCTGGGTTAGGAAGCCAAAAGCCGTCGAGAACGGACATAAAATGTTAGGGGATATTAAGAAGGGAGTAGTAAGCAAAACTGGAAGTATCGTGGTGCCCCTTTCTCAATCCATGTGAGTCCACAGCTTGACGACTGCACCCAGTTGTGGTCCCCACATCTGGCGAGACACTCAATAATACACCCCTCCTGACTGTCTCTTCTCCATTTAGTAGTGTGAGGGGGTGGCTGGCAGTGACCTAGCCCAGGGGGGTTGAAAGGGCAAAGGATGATTGGAGGACTTGGGATTCCCTTTCCTCACCAATCAGGCCCAGAGATTCACCCATGCTCATGTCCCCTGATTGGCCCGTGGGTCACCTGGAGGGGGATAAAAGGGGCAGCATGGCTGACTCAAGAGGAGACTAGTGAGTGTGGCAGAAATGCCCCCGTCGGTGCCCCTCTCCAGAGATCTGTCTCAGCCAACCCGAGAGGCTGCTGTTGAATCTCTCACAGCGGGGATCTCGCTCCTTGTCTGCAGACAAAAGCCTGGCGCCTGGGAGGCGATGCTCTGGTCACCTGGGCAAGGGGGGGGAAGACCCGGCCCTGCGCGCGGGCCCAGGTAGCCAGGGATGCTTTGCAGATTGGACGGTTTGTAGCCAGTATTGGCAGCTTCGATTGGACCGGCTGCTGAGGTCAGGGAGGTTTTAAAAAGGCCTGGGCCAGGAAGAAGGG